CTAATCCTAGCAACTGTAAAAACGAGGTTGGCCTCTGACAGTTCACCTTTCTACGTTCGATCCCTTGTCAATTTCGCACAATCATCCTCTCCTCCGAGTAAAGTAATACATTGAATACTTGTGACCTTTTCGTTACAGAGACCATATGATTTGTGAGTCACAATGTTTTGTCATATTTAACTGCTTCTATTACTTTCAATTTACATATCAGTGTGAATTCATAGTTTGGAGGTAAATTTCAAAAAGCCAATGAAACACCAATCAAACACTGACAATTTGAATAACCTACCTCAAGATTAGATTATTTCGCCTCTTCAACCGATCACATACACGTTCGCTTTTATAATTTCATATTGCATTGAGATTACGAGTATCATGTAATCCGGTTATCATGTATACGATCAGATTTATAATGGCTGTTTTGAGTGGAATACGAAGGTCAGAGGATTGGATAGAGTGAACGTGTGAAACATTAATTCATGACAAGATTAGTAAATAATGACAACAGTAATTGAATAAAACTAACATGTGGTTAATAGTGTCACAAACACGCACACAAGTAGGTGAATGATTAGGGTTTCAGATAAAGGACAATATTATTATGTGATTTAATTAAAGTAGAATAAGGCAGGCAATTGTTACTGTTTCACACTCTACTTTAAACACTGATTTGAGATAAACATCCATTCGAAACTGGAGAGAGTGAATATAATCTATAAAAGTTGATAGCAGTTCCTTCGCTCAGATATATTGTATTTTCATCAGAATATTTTCCAAAGAGGCATGGCTTCCACGTCATACATCAGATTCAATCTCGACAAAAAGTGTATTGAGGTTTCGGTCGTGCTAACTATTTATGTAATGCAGCTTTTTAAGTTTATAGTTGTTATAAAGTAGGCTTGTGGAGCGCCTGATCCGAACTATGACCTTGGGGAAGCGCGTTCGTGGAGCTTGTTCTAGATGTCAGAAGTTATATAGCTTTACCCTCAAAGCAAGATTCTGAAGATAGAAAAAAAAGAAAGAAAACGGAGAGGCGGCAAGGCATACGGATATGAACGAAAACCAATGCTCAGCATTTAGTAGAGTAACAGTCGGAGTTATGAGAAATTATTAAATCAAATTGATAGTAAATTGATAATAATCATGAAGGCTTTTAGATAGTTAACATTATTGAATGATGTAAGGAAAAGCAATAAGAAAAGAAATATGGAGCTTGTTTAGTTATTACGAATCATACCAAGGTTGAACATCAGAGTTTCAAATAAATTGGGCATTATGTAGAGAGTTGATAATGAATGACATTAATTGTTATATGCCGATGAGTAGGAGAAATGCATTTCTGACGATTCGTGACTTCATGTGAGCTATATCTTCGTAGTAAATAAGTAACCGGCCATAGTTTAACACATGTTTATATTCTAATTAACACTCCACTGCCATGTGAATTTTGATAATGTACTCATTAGCACTCATTGTGATGCCTCGTAAGCTTGTAATGTACTTATCTGTGATGAAATTACCAGTCTGCATAAATGACGATTTTACCTGTGATCAGTCCACTGACTATTCAATGTTCCGATTGTAGATATGGAAGCGTTGGAATTAGGGTAATCTCTCGTCATTGATACAACTGCATTTACTAGTGTTCATTCCATAGAAAGAATATCACTGCATGATGTTGATTGTTTATCAAAGACAATAAACTTTGAGGATGATGTAATTATGGTTATGTTGAGAACCACAGATGTATGGGTTTAGCAGATTTTAGCACATTTACTCTCTTGATGGTAAGCAATACATACAGATACGTCATCTAGACGTTTGTAATCGGATTTCAGTGTACATTGATCGAAGACAGATCAAACCAATAAAATTCCTCAATATATAACTGTTTGAGTTCATTTTATATGATACGAATATTCTATGAACAATGACGCTGTAAATTTACATAATTTTTGAAATTCCACTGTTATTGAATTCATGTTAAAAGTAGTGAGCATGCCTATTAAGTGAATAATTGTTATACTTGTGTCAAAATAGCTGACAAACCAGTTATGAAAATCAAAGTGGTGAATAATAGTCAGGTAAACTATATTGATAGAGAATATGATCGTTTGGTACATCTGAATCTGAAATAAAACAACTGTGTCTACCACATATTGGATATATGGCATCTGTCAGAATATGCAGATTTTGTAACTGATCTACATAGATAGAGTCAAATATCGTATATCAAGTTGATCTTCTGCGGCAAATGTTCGGATACACTAGCTCGTTAATCATATGAGTCGTTGTTCAATATAATATATTATTCAAATATGTGAATAATTGAATGCGTTTTCTGTCAGATCTCAAGAGACATAATTTCGTACATTTAAAGCATACTTTCGGGCAAAACTGAAATCTGATTCAACGCTTTCAGATTTAACTCAAGTATCTCGATTAGGTATACAATCATATGGTGATCACAACGCTGTGGTAAAGCAATTTGGTCCAGGTTCAGTCAAATTATACTACATCAAAGTACTCAAACTCGACACAACAGCTTTCTATTAGTGTAATGAAATTGAAACTCTTTTTGTAAAGCTAGTAAATGTTAGTCTTATTTGTTCTCATTTGTTCCTGTTTTCTTGCATTAAATCAAGAAGTTGAACGATTGGGTGGATGTTTACTTCAGAACAGTTTGAAATGTAAAAGATAAAAAGGTAACAATTGCTGTCGTTGTTATATTTTAATTAAATCACATGTTAATATTACCAATCATCTGACAACTAATCATTCATCAACTCGTTTGTGCACCTAGTAAACACATTTACGTTTTATTAAGCTTACCATTGGTATTATTTCTTAATTCTGTCATGCATTAATAATTCACACGTCCACTCTATGTAATCCGCTGATGTTCTTATTCCACTCTCAACAGCCATTATAAATCTGATCGTATTCATGATCACATGATTGGATGAAACTCACAATCGTATTGTAAAATCAAAGTATAAAAGCAAACGTGTAAGTGATCTGTTGAAAAGACGAAATATTCTGCTGTGAAGGTAAGTAATTCAAAGGTTTGTCATTCAAATAATGTTTCATTAGCATTTTGAAATTGAAGCTCAGTATTAGTGTACGCGGCAACAATGAATCGAATTCGCAATGGTCGCTCATGCAATAAATGGTCGGTACTCATAACTCCTTGCTTATATGTACACCAAATATATTTTTATCATCCCAGCTCAAATGTGTTCTTCAAAAACCTTAGGCATCATATTGCTGATGATCACGATCGAAGTGATCAGTGTAGGTAATGAAGAGACTTCCACGTAAAACCATATAGATTAAGTAGTCACGTCATGACAAATCGACAATGTTGGGATTGATTTTGATTACTACCGTGGTACTAATGTCGAACTAGACCGTAATTCTACAGATTTTCGAAATACTGACGATTCAGATGACGGTGTTTGGTACTGAGTCCCGTTTTCACTATCCCATTGCTTCCATATGTTTCACGCAGTCCAAGTAAGATATGGTTATAAAAATCAATTGAGTGAATTCCTCCAGGGTTGGTTAGTTATTTCAATACATATCAAAGGCTGGCAATAATAATTAAGTATGAAATTCCTCACATAGATGTGACCAAATAACTTCATTTAGGTTTCTATTAATCATTATATATATACACTACTGTTGGTGCAGATAAAGTCAACATAAAAGTGAGCTGATTGGATTGTTTGTCTACGGTTGTGAAAAAAGTTTACGAGATGATTCCAAAGTCATCAATGTGATCGGAGGAATGTCGAAGATGTGATATATGTTCCTGTTAGCCAAAATGTTTATTATGTGACGGGTTATAAAGTAGAATCAGCATTCAGGACTAAACAAACATGAAATTAGAACCTACTCAATGATGTGTTGGTGTGATTATCTCAGTCACTTGGGAAACTAGTTACTACCCAAAATGATCAGTGGTGACACATTCAACTGGGGGCCTTGTGGTTGAAATTCGGATCCGCCTCAATTCACTATTTCTTCTATAGGTAAGCCGTTCCAACACTCAAAGTTGTCAATGTATAAGTCCAATTAATACAATTTATGGTGCGACCATCTCATGCTATACTGATAACACGCTTTTCAAGTGAACTTTAATTACAATTCTTTTCTATCTCACAGATAAATATTTCGATTGAATTTTGGACTGTTTCACCTTAGATTGAAAGCTGTTATTTTAATATTTACAACTCTGTTGTCCAGCACTTACAACACTGTAGAAAGAAACTCATCAAAAACTGATGACACACAATCATTGACTGCAAGCAATGATATAATGACATCTGGTTTCAATGAAGATTCAACACGAGCCACTCTCATGCAGCTAGATGATTTAGTCAGTTTAACTCTATTCAATTTCACTGATCCTGGAACAACTGCATATGATGTATGGGTTGAAATGTCAGATACATTTCGAGCTGAAGGGTGATCTATAGCTACACTCGTACCACATAATGCATGTGTAAATTTTATATATAGAGCTTATTCAACTAACACCATGTTGGGATTATCATTATTAACATAAGCAGACTCAGTCGACATCTAAATAATGTACATTCTTTTCTATGTATATTGCCAGCGACCACGATATTTTTGATTCGGCATTTGTAATTTATACACCTTTCAGAATGACATATGAATGGTTTATGCGAATAATAGTCATATTGATGTAGTGAAACAAACAAAATTAGATAATTCATTGATATATTTAGATAGTGATGTGAACTATGAAGTCCTACAATCTCCACAGCATGTCTTACGGTAATATAAGTCAAATTGATATGAAGATCTGATTTCAATTTGAAGTACAATAGTGTTCTTTCTTCTTTCAGATAAACATTCACAATACAATCAACAGTAGATTGAAAGATTAGTCAATTTACCATCACCAACATCATGAATATTAACAGTCTTCTTGCAACCACGTTTTTCATTCTTTCACTTCACGCTTCAAATGCTGCTCATATGAACACAAATCTAACAGCTCCACTTACTATTGGAATAACAACATTCTATGCAAATAAACAACCAATAATAAAGTCTATAAATCAAATAAATCGATCGACTGGTCCGGTGTTGTTTAATTTCACGGATTCTCAGAATAAACGTGGTGAATGGTATGAAATATCAGAAACAGTTCGAGTTGAAGAACGATCTGATGCCACACTTGTACAACATGTTACATATGTAAGTTACATTCACATCGAATTAAAACGGAAAATATATTTAGAATAATCAATCATCAATCTTCTTCTATCCACTCAAAATATTACCAGATAGATTTGGTTCCTCTGGTGTCAAATACATAGTGGATACTTGGGATTTGTCCGAGTTTACCGACTTTTTGATTGATGTAAATGGAAACAGTAAAAATTCTAAATTCAAATTCACCATCTATGGCAAATGTTCGAAAACATTCGAATGTCAATCATACGAGACGAATTTCCAGGTAATGTGATCTTCAAATATGTAGAATAATTACAATCTGTTTTCTATGAATTCCTTATAGATATCTGGAGGACGACAACAAATAAAATTACCATTTCGTGCATTTAAAGCAAAGTTTCGGGGAGCACAGTATTCTGATTCACTGCATTCATTTTTAAGACAAGTAACTCGTCTCAGGATACAAGCATACGTTGATCACAATGCTCCGAAAAACGAATTCGGTCCAGGTTCAATTGAAATACACTACATCACAGCACGCAAACTCAAACCAACTACCGACAATTATTGAATGAGCATTGAAACTGTATATGTAAAACTAGTAAATGTTAGTTGTATAACTGTTTTGAGTTTGAATGAACGATTCTGTCAAATAGACATTGGAATTTATTCATAATTTTTATTCTTTTTAACTCCAAAATAATTTTCTATTTGTGTGATCTTAAATTCCAGAAAATCGGTAGTAAGTGAGATGTGAAGCAAGTCAGTTAATAATAATAATAATTTATTCTCAAATAACAGATTGTTACATGAGGCATACCGGTTTACAGGCAAGATCAAATTGTTAAAGAAGTTACAATTTTCACAGTTGAAAGTTACTCAGCTGGGTTGATATTTCATAAGATATGAATGTAAATGGATTTCACAAGAAACATGTCAATATCAATATCACACTTGGCGCACTTTATGGAGGTAGCGTTGCAACATACAACTGATGGTGGAGAACAGATACATGTGAAGTTGAGGGCTTTTAGAAGTTTCGAACTTAAGTCTCTCCAGAATATCGGAAGAATTCATAACGATGTAGGACAAAGTCGCTCGTGCCAAATCTGTTTTCGGTGGAGTATCTGCAGGAGGCTGAAAAAGGGGTAGGAAAAAGGAAGGACGAAAAGCAGAGCACACAATTTTCATGGAGGAATAGTTAAGGTATAACCATTTAGTCTATTTGTCTGTTACTGAAGTACTCATTAGATAAGAACATACTAATGTGTTAAAGAAAAATAAGTGTGGGCAAGGTATGAGTGGATAAGGAACTGTGTAAATGAAGGTAGTTTAGAAGGAAGTATGGGATTGTGTAATTATAAAATAAAGTGCTGAAAACAGTGTTCCGATACAAATGGCTGTCTCCCTTTTTTTCGAAGCTGTTTGAACTCTATTTTCTGTTTTTAGATTTTATATGGTGTAGAGTGGACTTCGTTTTTAGTCAATTGTCTGGTTTGCTTGTAATAGGATTACTCGGTAGGAAGTGGAACCAATTTAGCTTTTTTAAACATGATCTAAAGTGGTATTTTTCATGAATAATTTCGCATCAATACCGTTGGTTCGTGACATCCCACTAGACCAAGTTCGTCAAGTAACAAGAGATTTGTTTAGAACCAGGTCGAAATGTTTACATACACTTTGAATTTGCATCACTAATTAGACCGAATTAATGATTAGCCAATATCAAATGATAATTTGAGAAGTTAAAACTAAAATCGAAATGAAAAGTACTTAATATCATATAGGCAATCGTTTATATCATACACAAGGGTGATTCGGCTAAACTGGCTGAATTGTTCAGCCATCGTAAATACTTTCAAAGATGCTAGTACACACCCACAACTCTGCACTGACCCTGACTTCCATCAAGTCTAGATATGAATTAACCGTCAACTAATATCCGTTAATCACAATTGATACCTATGATTAAACAGCGTTTTGCTAGGTACACCATCTAAATTATAAAAACCAACAGAAATCACTTAAACTAATGAGGTTTTCATAATTCACATCACGAATGGATGTGAGATAGACCACCATTAAGAGGCTGGAAGCACTTGAGAGCCGTTTTATTTATGAAGAGAACTCATCATCTCTGTAAATGCCCTGCTCCATATCCAGGATCCTGTACTGATATCATGTCTTCACTAGTGAATGGCATCAGTATGTAATACCTGTAGTTCTAGTGAGATGCTGAGACACATTTAGTCCTATAATGTTGTTGTGTGAGGTACTTATTGTTCTGGAGAAATGGATGAAGTTTGTACACCCTTTGTTAAGCTAATCAAAGTTAAACTTTAATGCCAATATCAAATGATTATATGTGAAGTTACAACCCATAACGAAATGGAAAGTACATACTATCATATAGGCAATCGTTTTCATCATAGGCACTGCTGAAGGATCCCGTACAGAACTAAACGGTCGTCCTCTGTTCCCACATTTTCAATATTGGTTATACCTTGATCGGTTCCTGATATCAATTGAAGGAATTGACGTACATCCACGATTTCTTTTCTCATCCTTTGTGAATGTATTTTTATGTTTGCCGAAACTCGAGAAATGCACCATTTCAAGAATATACTTCACAAAGATGAAGACAGTATTTCGAAGCACTGAAGGCTTCGTGTCAGTGTTTATAGTGACTGTTCTGATATACGTTGGATAGGAACATACTTTGCAAACGTAAGTCACTCAGTTATGTATTACAGTTATTTCATGAATCTTAGTCACCAAGACTGCCTTTGGTGACCAAGCCTGCATGATTGAGTCATGCTATTTCCATCCATTGCTGCCTCGTGCAGTATTGCTGAACTTCTATCTTTGTTAAAGCACTACAAGTTAACTACCATTTACCATTCTGCACATCAATATCGACTAGAAACTACTGATTCGTTGATCAAATACTAGTCAACTAGATTTCCTAATGTTTCCATAACTCAATTCATATAATATATTCAATATTCATCCTTAATTCCATGTATATGGGTTTGCAGAATCAATGTTCATATCATTTGTATTATCATAAGATAGTGGCTTGTGCTCTCCCCATCTATCCCTCTTATAACCGACCAATTCAAATAACCTGCAATTATAGAGACTATAAGCATGCAGACTGGAACCTCTTGCGTTCACTGATCAAACTATCAGACTGGAATGAATTCTTCTCATGTAATAGTCTGACAGATGCCATCAACATATTCTATTTGATTGTTAACTCTTGTCTAGACTCCTGTGCACCAATTAAGACTTACAGGATTAGTAAACATTACGAATTATATATACCAGCTAAATATCGTAATAAGCTGAGACGCCCACAGAAACGTTATTTTAAATCTAACGACTTCACGGCAGTCACACAAATAACAATAATTTTTAACGAAATTAAAGAGAAACATAGGTTAAAAGCCATCAATGAAGAGCTATTAGCACTACGTACTAGCTCAACAGTGCAAAACCTAATCCACATTTACAATAAACGTGCTAAATCAACTCAAATTGTTGATATACCATGCATCCTGCATAATAATAATAGTTTTATATATGACCCTAAAACTATAGCAGACCTTTTCAGTGGTAATTTTGCAAATGGCAAAGAATCCATAAATGGCTCTGTTTCTAGAGTTATATGCTTGACTGGTAACTCAATTAAATCTATCTCCTTCACATGTCTGAAAATTAGTAAGGTTATAAATAAGCCTCTTACTAGCCTGGTTTGATTCCTTCCTCAGCAATCGACATCAAATAGTTAAAATGAACTCTTCATTGTCGAATGCCGGAACTTTAAATGTTTAACTTCTTACTTGCTATCATTGTTTTGTTGTTCCGTGCTCTTTGCTTTAATCTTACTTTTTCTAGTTGTAGATAATTAATAATAACTCGCTCTAGCACTGGTAATAACCTTACAAAACAATGTTGGTCAATCATCAGGCTATCCACTTAATAAAAAAATGACAAGTTCCCTGGTGTTGCATTGGCTTGCCGTGACATATGCCATATTTAAACTATTTATCAATTACTAGACCAGCGGACATAAAACTTTCTTATATTTCATGTTTCCTCTCTACATTAAATGTTGCTTTTATATCCATCTGATCATGCCTGTAAACTGGTTTGAATTCTGTAAATATAAATTTGAGAATACATATTATTATATTATATTACTGAATTATTTCGTTGGCCACTTTCACTTGGTGTGATATTTGAAGTTTCCGCATTATGAGGTGAATACTGGCACAACTTTGCGTCATACATTGAGAGAGTAAAGAATTTCATTGAATACTTGTAACCTTTTCGTTTACAGAGATTATAGAATTAGTGGATTATAATGTTTTGTTATATTTAACTGTTTCTATTACTGTCAATTTACATATCAGTGTGAATCCATGGTTTGGAGGTAAATTTCTAAAAGCCAATGAAACACCAATCAAACATTGAAAATTTGAATACCCTACCTCAAGATTAGAATATTTCGCCTCTTCAACCGATCACATACACGTTTGCCTTTATACTTCCATTTTACATTGAGATTACGAGTATCATGTAATCTGGTTATCATGTATATGATCAGATTTATAATGGCTGTTTTGATTGGAATACGAAGGTCAGAGGATTAAATAGCGTGGACGTGTGAAACATTAATTCATGACAGCATTAGTAAATAACGATAAAAGTAATTGTATTAAACTAATATGGGGTTACTAGTGGCACACACACGCACACAAGTAGGTGAATGATTAGGCTTTCAGATAAAGGATAATTTTATTATGTGATTTAATTTAAGTAGAATAAGGACGGCGATTGTTACTGTTTTACACTCTGATTTACAAACTAGTTTGAGATAAACATCCATTCGAAACTGGAGAGCGTTGAACTGCTGTTTTGTTCAACTATGAGACGTATCAATGATGTGTGCCTATGACCTCTTTGATAGCTGGAATTTTGAACATCAGATTTTGTGTGAAGCGCCTAACCTCTAGTATTCTGATCCGCTATTTAACAGTCTGAACGATTATCTTCAGTCAGTTTGCGATATTGAGAGAATCGATAATAAAATCTATAAATGAGAATGGACCGGACGGTTTAGTTTGTACAGATTAGTGTGACTATTTCGTTGAAATACTGAACTCAGTCTTCAACCTGATTGTCTCCCATTATGAGCAGAAAAAGTCATAGGTATAAAGATAAATGTGAAAGATTTATTGTTGTATTATACAGACCGATTAATGACATTTACGTGAACACGTTCATGATTGTGATTCGGATACCATACACTCCAGTATTAACATGGTATTATTGTTCATTTGAGTGAGTGGTGGTTAATTCATGATCACTCGAGTATGTATTGGATAGATGTGATAATTACTAGTTTCTACATTACATTACAGTCGCTTTCAATATTTCTGTATTTATGTAATGAAGCTTTTTAAGTTTTTAGTTTTTATAAAGTAGAGTTGTGGAGCGTCTGATCCGAACTATGACCTTGGGGAAGCGCGTTCGTGGAGCTTGTTCTAGATGTCAGAAGTTATA